CGTGGTCCAGGCAAGACAGCGCTTGGTTGGAATCCGGGTGCGGGGGATATCTTAGAAAGGGCACCCTGCCCTGTGTTAGCAACCTGGATTCCTACAGAGCCCCCCCCCTGACAGCGAGTGCGTGCTGCCGGCTTTTATATCCGCGTGACAGTAGAGGCCTTGACGAAGGCCATTCTTTATCTTTGCCAGGCAGGACAATCCCAGAACCACCTCGAAAATGGAGGCTGTAAGAGACACGTGCGCATGAACACAATTAAATTGGGGTTTATCTCTACGAGCCCAAACACCTGAGGTTAAAGCCTAAATATTCGCATATTCACAAAGCGCTCGGAGTGTGCAACCCCCACCCTGCGAGCCTAAGGGGGTGGGAATGTGAAGGCCTTGCAGGTTAGGATCCCCTGGGCCACCTTTAAAGCAGCGTTTTCACGTGGCGTGTGAAAGGCCAAGCGCTGCCTCTCTGCCAGCCTTTCCTTCGTAAGGAAGAGTGACGGTCGGAGGCGGGGAGGGGGACCTCAGGCGCATACAAAGGGAAGGAGGTACATCGACCTCGGGCTTCTCTCCCCAGTTGTTGCTCCAGAGCCAACCCAGCCTATCCGAAGACGAGGAGTCTGTAAGAGATCTGCCTCAGTTTGGGGGCTGCTGGGGTTGCGTCCTGGAACAGGTTAAAGCTCAGATAGGTTAAAGCCAGACAGATTAAAGCTCAAATCTAAAACCCCTACAGAAAATTCCCGGCTGCACATCATGGTTCCTGCACCCTCCTCGCTCACGTCCGCACAACGGTCCTCTCCGGACCCCAAAACCCACCGCGGCCGCGGCGGCTGTGCGCCCAGGAGGCGGAGCCCGGGGCCACCTTCCGGCTGCGGTGGCTTCTGGTTTCGCGAAGACCGGCCGAGCTGACCGAGTGCTGGTACCTCGCGTGTTCACTGCCGGCGGTACACGTAGTTCAACCCCGGCTCCTGGCGACACCCACTCCAGAACGTGGGTAGTGGGGAGAGGCCACACGAAAGATCCCACAGAGACTGGACTTGGTTTACGGTTCCCTCTGAGGTGCGAAGGGGGATTCGTGTCCACCTGAGTCGGGGCAACTGCTCCCCCAAACACACATGAATCCTGGCTCTGTGTGTGTGTGTGTGTCTGTGTGTGCGTGTGTGTTGGGGGGTGGGAAGCGGTGATCTCCTTGGTTGGCTTGCGGGCCTGAGCCTGAGCCTCCTTGGAGGCAAGACCTCGCTCTGATGGGCCGGCCAGGTTTGGCCTCGGTGGCGGAGAGGGCAGTGACAGCGACAGGCTCCCTGTCCCAACATTGAGATGTCAGTCACTCTTGGCTGAGACAGACAAATGGAGGTGAATGCGTCACCCGCTTTCACTGGTTTGGTCGGTGGAAAAAGGGAATTTTTCCACTGAGACTCTGCCCCACCCACACAGGCGGCATGGGCTCCACGCTTTGATTTGCAGTTGGGAGGAGAAGCTGGAACTTCATTTGCGTGGTTCTACAAACAGTGTGGAGCCCGGGTGGCGCAGTGGTTTAAGTTTGTCTGCTAACCAAAAAGTCTGCAGTTCGAATCCACCTGCGGCTCCTTGGAAACCCTGAGGGGTAGTTCTACTCCACCCTATAGGGTCGCTGTGAGTCGGAATCCACTCAATAGCAATGGTTGTTTTGTTTTGTTTTGTTCTGTTTCTTTACCCACAAAGTGCTGAATGAGCCAGGGGAAGGCCTCTGTCTCGTGTGTCTGGGTCTCTGTGTGCGGATCTGTTGGGATGTGTCTTTGGGTATGTGTGTATTACGGTATATGTACATGATTATGATGGTATGTGTGTATTACGGTATATGTACATGATTATGATGGTATGTGTGCGTCCGCGCTCGTTGTCTTAGAGGGCGTTGTCTTCTCCGTCCTCCACCCCTACCCCAGTGAGACGCGCTCTGGTCGCCATACTTCTGCGTGCGGCGCGCCTGCCTTAGTAACCTTGCTCCAAGGACTCCACGCCGAGATGATTCAGGCGGTCGAGGCAGAGCCCTGCTCCGGTCACAGTTACCAACCACCGCTTTTAGCAACGGGCTGCCCTGGGTGGCGCTAGGGTCAGGGGCTGCGGCTCTGCTCTGCGCTCACCGAGAGCGACAGGCCTCTTCGAAGCGCCAATCCTGCTGACCTTGGCGCGCCTGGCATTCGTGGACCTTCCGCGTTCGGCCCTCCCTTGCACGTCTGAGGAATCTCTGTCTTAAGTTCAAAACTTTCTGGCTTCCTCAGCCGTCTAGCGTCGACAGCCGCCGGGATGATTCCTGGACCCAGGGCCTAGCGAGCAGCCGGCATCCAGACCACGGCGCCGGGAATGCAAATTTTCCTCGCAGTCACCTCCGCCCACCCAGAGAGGCGTCTTCGTCCGGCGGCTGCTCTTCTTCCAAGTTAACTTTAAACTTCTCCGGGGCTTGTGATATTCCGTTTCTGATAGAATTGTGGAAGAACTCCAACGCCCCACTGAGTTCCCCTCCCCCACCTCACCCGCGCCCCCTAGCCTGGCGGAGTCTAGCCCAGCCAAAGCCAAAATCTACCTGATCCGAGATCACATCATTATAAGCCTGGGCGATGGTTTCCCTCAGTTTTAATCCCCCCCCACCCCCACCCCCGAGCGCCCGGTCCCAGAGGAGGAAGGTTGCGGGGGGGTGGGGGGGATGGCGAGGATCGGGGATATGGGGCAGCGGGCACCTCGGACGTCCTCTGAGCTGCCGGGATAACTGCGGTTTGCACAAAGCACCCATCCCTCCCGCAACCCCCACACCAGCCCGGGCTCCGCTTCTCCACCTGGTATATACGCCATCGCCTTGTTCTCCTTAACACCAGACTGGATTGAAGGGCCTCAAAATTGGATGTTCTTGGTAAGTTCCGCTTCCAGAATTGCAATGTTCTGGGAATATAAGGAACTAAATCTAAGTAATGATGGCAAAACTGGGGTACAGAGAAAATCCCGCAGTTCGGGTAGCAGAGCCTGCAGAGGGCGTAGAGGAGGTACCCCAATCCTGCCCGTGGCAGGTGGCGAGGCTGTCGTCGCCCTGAAGCACCTCAGAGACAACCGTGGCTCACCTCCCCAGTTAACATGGAATCCCTCGGGAAGCGCTCTTTCGTTTCTCTTCGGACTTCTCTGGTTTCTCCCTCCCTCCTCCCCATTGGGCGCATTCCTCGAGGGGTTCAACTCGGTCCCGGGGTTTGGCAAGGGCGGGGGATAGTCAGTCTTGCACCTTTGGGCTGCGCTCTGGGACCTGGCCACGCGCCTGGAGGTGCCACGCCAGAAGTTGAATCTCCGGCTTCCGCTCTGTCCCATGAACCCCGGAAGACTAGAACAGAGGCTCCTGGAACCCGCTCAGGGAGTGGGTCGAAGTGGGGGCGAAGTGAAGAGAGAGCCGGGAGCGTGCTCACTCCGGCCATGGTAGGGCTGCGTCCTGGGCTCTCTGACCTCATCATCCCTGCAGCAGCACAGATGTTCCGCAGGGAGTTCTCCCCGAGAACCGGCTCCCGGGCACGGCAGTGGGCCTGTCAGAAGCCTTGGGCAATCCCGGAACGGGCTCCCGGGCACGGCAGTGGGCCTGTCAGAGGCCTTGCGCTGTCTCCGACTTTTATGGCAAATAGCCCTGGGTGTTCACGATTTGTCGGAGACATCAGTTTGTTTTTAAATCGCCCAAAAGAGATTTCACCGACTCATAGTTTCCAGGGAAGGAAAGCGGGGTAGGGCACATCTCGAAGAGAGATTTGACTCTCTCATCTTTGCAGAAAACTTGGAATGGCCAATCCCAGTAGCAGTGGCGAGGTCAGAATGTTTACTGTTTTCCAGCTGCGGTGGGATGGGGAAACCGCCTCTCAGCTCGCTAAGCTGAAGGGAAGAGAGCGCAGTGGGGCCCTGTTGCCGAGGGAGATGGAAGACGAGGTGCGGCTTTCTAGATCCATCACTGGCCACACAGGAGGCGGGAGGTCTAGGTTCTGGCTTGGGCTCTGCCTCCGTGTCACCTGGAGCAAGTCCCTTCCCCACAGTGCATTGTTCTGGCATCTTTAAAACCGAGGCCCTGGGTTTCTAAGCCTAGGGCTCCCAGCCACAGCCGCTATGGCCATGCCTGTCCTTTCCTCCGTGCCACTACAGATCTGCCTCGTCCCCCATGCCCGATCCCATCCCTGAGCAAGGGGAGGATTGCGCTGGGAGAGAGGCGCTCAGCTCCACGCCGGGCCCTGATTGGCCACCCACTGAGCGTGACTTTGGTTGGAACGACCGCGCCCGGCGCCTCCGCCTTCTCCGCTTGAACTCTGCAAACTCTCGAGCCGCGGAAAGCGTGCCGCACACACTCCTCGCGTCCAGACTCCAGGTGGGAAAGTCATTTGCGGAACGGGCCTAACAGACTCTGTGGCCAGCTCGGCTCCCAGATCGCGCCCAGGGCCGTGCAGCGCGCTTTCGCGCCTTCGTTGGCGGTTGGTGCGGTCCACGCGACCTCTGAACTAGACGAACCTCCAAACCCTGACGCCACTGTCTGCCACAACGTGGCCCTGAAGTTGCACCCCCCACCCCACCCACGAGCTCCAGCCGCCCTCCTCCCCTTTTCCACTTGAGCTGCTGCATTCTGCAGTGCCCTGGGCCTTCACGACCGCATCGCCCCAGCAAGCCAAGCGGCCTTTACAAACCGAAGTAAACATTTTATTTACAAGTTTTAGGCGTCCTCAGTGCAAGTCTTCGCGCCACGACCCCTGCGGGTGGGGAGGAACGTTTCAGTCAGACACTTCACAGCGCGAGCTGCTTGCTTCTGGGGAGCAGCGGTGCGGCGGGCGTGGGAGGCGGGGGGCCACCGAGACCCTCCTCCGCTCCGCGCAGTGTGGGCTGCGGCCAGCCGGGCAGCGGAGGGGCTACGGCTGAAGGAGGCCCCGCCGCTGCGCCCCAGCCCTGGCCCGGCCCCTGGCATAAAGGAGGCACCAGATCAGCAGCCGGGAGGCTGGCCGCCCGGCCCGGGCCCTCCGCGCTCGCCCAGTCTATAGGCCGCCAGGCGGCGCCGGGGCAGGCTCGGGGCTTTGCGGAGCGTTGCTGAGGCTGGGCTGGGGCGCGGAGGGCAGCTCCGAGGGGCCGCCGCCGCCGCTGCTGCCGACGCTGCTGGCGCTGCCCGCGCTGCTGCTGCTGCTGCTACTGAGGCCGCTGGCGCCGCTGAAGCTGAAGCTGGCGCTGCTGCCGCCGCTCCCAACGCTGCCGGCGGTGACCGGGGCGCCCGCGGCCGAGGCCTTGATAACGGTCGTCTGATGCAGGGCCCGCTCAGCGCCCTCAGTCCGCTCCGTGTCGCTGGGGGCCATGTCCAGGGACTCGGAGTCGCTGCTCTCGCTCTCGGCCTCGCCTTCCGAGCGGCTGGGGCTCCGCTCGTCCTGCTCGCCGTCGAAAGCCGGTGTTCCGCCCGATGGCTTCTCGGCTGCCTCCTTGTCCTTGTCTTTCTGGGCCTGGGCCTCCTTGGAGTGCCGCCACTTCATCCGCCGGTTCTGGAACCACACCTTCACCTGAGCCGCACCGCGAGGGAGACAAGAAGGGACACCCAGGTGAGACGCAGGCTCGCTCCTGCCCACGAGCCGCTCCCTAACTCAGGAACACACGGTTAACCGTCCCCAGCGCCCCACCCAGAGCCAAGCACAAGCGGAGCGGGGGGGCCCAGAGGTAACTCAGGGGAACACCAAAACCGCCAGGAATCCTCGCCTCCAGAAGAACCTTCTGGGGCCGTTTCTCAAAATGTGGCTCTCAGACCTCGTGCCTGAAATGGCCTGGGTGCTGGTGGGCAGGCGTATTCCTGCACCCCACCACCAGCTATAGAGACTGGTGCCTCTTAACTCCACTGGAGTCTGGACGCCGCCCCAATCTAATTAAAGTGTGGCCCCCTGCCCACCCCCATGCACATACACCCAAGATTTTTGTACATTTGCAAGGGTTTGGTGAACCAGTGCCAAGAATTCCCGCTCTAAGTTGGCCCACTACTACTTTATTACCACTACTCAGAGCAAGTCCCTAAAAAGGGATTCTTTCGAGGAAAGAAGAAGGCGGGCACGAAGCAGAAAGGGAGAAAGTTCACCCCATGGGGGCCTTCGGCAGAAAAGCATTTCCTCGGCAGGTTTGCAGGGGGAGGGGCTAAGGACCCCACCCCTACCGGGCTAAACTAATCCTGCTGGGGGCTCAGAAAAGGCTGGAATTAAACGTGTGCAAAGTGGAGGCGGTGGCAGGGGGTAGGGATGGGGTGGAGAATCTATATAAATATATACGATCCCCTGGGGGACACAGAGCCTTCACACAAGTTCCAGCTTCCCTTTTAAAAATAACATCCACAGCTGGTGGAAAACGGCTGGGCGCTTCTTCCCGTGCGTGTGCTGGGGACGGGTGTTGTGTAATGAAGGACAGAAAGAGGGAGAGGGAAGGCCCAGGGCCGGGGAGCTAGGAAAAAGCCACCAGCCTCGAGCTGCTGCTCTGCTCGGGAGTCAACACCAGGGATGAGGGCCGCTGCTGTGGGATATGAAACAACTGTGACTCTTCTATTTTCAAAGCTTTAAAAAAAAAAAAAAAAAAAGGCCAGTTCTTCAATTTGAGAAAAAGAAAAAAAAATGAATTCAGGCACAATCTTGAAAAAAAAATCAAGTAAGCAGAACCGGCTAAAACGCTCTTGGACGCTCTAAGAAAATCTTTTTTTTTCTTTCTCTCCCTGACCCCTTTCCCCAACCGGAGTCTTTCTTCACAGCCCACACGGTTAGAAAATCGGCCTGGCTGTGGCGCTCCAAGCGGGCTGCTCGCCCTACTGGGGCCGAGCAATTCCGTTTGAAATGATGTTTTCACTTCCTGCTCACAGCTAGGGATTTCACAATCGGGCAGCGGGAGGAGGAGGCAGCCAGGGCAGGAGAGAAGGAAAAAAAAAAAAAAACTCTTGACTTCGGGTTTTTATCTCTTCCGTAATAAACTGCCTCCTACAGCGAACTGCACTGAGTTGAGTACACAATTATCTCCCGCGGCCTGTTTGTTTTCTCCGCGGCTCCTTCGCCCGTTGGCCAAAATAAATAGGCAGCGCTTGTTGACATGTTTGGTGATGAGCTATTCTTTCCGTCCTTCTCCCCCACCCTCCTCTCTCTTTCTGTCCCAAGTTGCGAAGTCCACAAAGTCTGAAATTCTAGACCTTGTGTTTCCACCACCAGAAGGGACTTGGTCTGGGTGGCGGGCCCCTCGGGGTTAGGCCGCTCGCAGTCGCCCGCCCGAGGGCGCTGTGCGCTGCAGGCCAGAGCGGGCTTACCTGCGCGTCAGTGAGGCCCAGCATCGCCGCCAGCTGCTTTCGGTCCGGCTTGGTCACGTACTTCTGGATCTCAAACCTTTTTTCCAGGCCTTTCCTCTGCAGGTTGGAGAAGACGGCGCGCGACCACGAGCGCTTTCTCTTGTAGGTCTGCGGCATGGTGTCCTTCGTGAGTACCGCGTAGGGGCCTGGTGGAGCCGGTTACCAGAACAGAAAGGAGACACGAGGGCCTCGTTAGTGCCCAGTCCGATGCTGCTTAAAAACCTTTTTTTGTGCTAACAGCCGGCTCAGAAAGCCCTTCCCACACACCTGGAAGGGCTTCTCTAAGGAGGAAGGGCACAGCTGTGAAGACGATAGTCGGCAGGCCTAAAGCGAGCGTGGAGTGGAGAAACTGTGGCTCCCAGATTAATTCCAAGGGAAAAACATAACCCTAATGCATGGCCATTAGGCATGTGGAGAAAATGTCCCTCGGGCCTGAATGATCTAGAGATGACAGCCTCTATTCTCTGTTTTGTGTGTGTGTGTCTGTGTGTGTGTCTGTGTCTGTGTGCGCGCGCTAGCGTGTGCGTCCGCGTGTGTACTCACGCGTGCCCACGCGTCCAGACAGAACCTTGCCTCACAGGGCAAGTGTCTGAGGTCTTCTTAAAATGTGTATGTGTTAACAAGCAACACCTCTTGATGCTGCCTTTTCAAACCTACAGCTGAGCCACTCACTCCAGCGAAAATAGCAAGGAAACCCTCCCCCGCCCGCTCGGCCGCGCACACGGTCTTGGCTCCCCCAGGCGCCCCCACAGCTTCCCGGTGGGAGCCGTCCGAAGCGTGCGCTAGCTCGCGGAGAAATCTTTCGGTTTCTCTATCCCGACCCAGTATCCTCCCGCACCAGCTCCCGGATTGCGACACCGCGACCGCCCCATGAGGCGTCAGGTCTGAGATGTCTGTCTGTCAGTCGACCTGCCCGTTGGGCCGTCGCTCGCTGGGGAGGGTTTCCGTACCTGGAAACGTGTCTTGAAACTGATGCTGAACTGAATTTCTCGTGTTCGAGCTTAAGGGACTCAGGATGGCAGAAGCCTCGTTAATGGGATCTAGAGACGCGAAGAACTGGCCGGCGGAGGGCTGTAGGCCCGGGAGGTGCATCCCCGCGGGCCGCCCGCCGGTTAGCAGGGAGGTGAGATCTGGGCGTGGAGGAAAAGGACCGCTGGTTACACTTCAGGCAAATGCATACTCTCTCGGCTGATTGGTTCCTCCCCTGCCCCTCGCCCTTGGTTCGGTTTTCCTGGAGCTAAATCGCGAGAGACTCCTGTCTCCGAGCCAAAACCCCTCCGTCCCGACAGTCGCCAAGGGGCGATGCACAAAGTGTTGCCTGTGTTCACGTCCACATCCACGCATATAGCACGGAAGGGATTGACAGAAAACAGCCACAACGACGTCGCTTTCAGGTGCCTTCCAGGAATCCCACAGTCCTGTACCCGCCGCCCCCAAAGAACCCCCACTCTGTGCTCTGCTCTTGGGAGTTTGGAGTCGGCCTTGTCTAACTGCATTCCTTGGGTAGACTTACTAGATAACATCAGATACGTGGAACTTCCACAAGGAAGAGAAAATCTTCCCCAGAAGGGTTTTTCCTGACAGAAAATGTTATTTCTCTCTCTAGATATGGCGGGAGAAAGATGTGGCAGTCTGCTTCCGTAAAGATTTACAGCCTTGGACACCCTAGGGGCAGTTCTACTCTGTTATACAGGGTCGTTATGAGTCGGAATCGACTCCACATCAATGGGTTTGTTCTCTAGATACGTGACTAAAAAGACAGACAGATGATAGTCATGTTAGCAAATATTTACACCAACCACTTTCATGAATATTGATTATGTGACAAATGTTTTTAAAGCCTTCCGGGAGTCAAACTTTTTGTTGTTGTTAACGCAGAGCAGGTAAGTGACTTTTAGATACAAATTTTCGTAGTTTTTTTTTTTTAATTCGTTTCTTTTCCCCCATTTTACCCATTTTTCTTTCATTATAAAAACACTCACTGGCACCCCAAACCGACCAGGGGTCCGAGAAATGAGTCAGAGCCGTGGTCAGAGGCCTGCAGCCTCCCGCTCCAGACCTACCTCTTAGCGTGTTGCCTTCCTTGACTTTTGGGTCAAATTCTGCGGACAAAATGCGGTCAATTCCAAATTTGAGGTCCTTGCTGGAGGGGGCCGGGGCCGAGCCGCTATGGTGGGGGTTCGGGACCACCCGCGCCCCCGCGGCCTGGGGCTGCAGGGCGCCGGCCCGGGGTGGAGGAGGAGGCTGTTGCTGCTGCGGCTGTTGCTGCTGTTGTTGCTGCTGTGGGTGATGGTGGTGGTAGGCGGCCGAGAGCGGAGACAGCCGCTGCGGGAAGCCAGCTGGGACTTCGGAGGGCGCCACCACTGGGGTGGGTCGAAGCGGGGACCTGGCGGCGGCTTGGAAGGAGGCGTGCGGGTGAACCGAGCCCAAGTGCGCGGTGAGGGCGGCGGCCGAGGCCCCCGCCAGGCCCTCTGGGGCCGCCCCCGGCTCCCCAACGCCGGCGTGCAGGATGTCTGCGATGCAGAAGGACGGCTTCTTGACGGCAGCGGGGTCCAGGGGAAAGGAGCAGCCGCCCGGGCCGGCCGACGAGCAGTACGCGGCCGACCAGAGGCTGAAGTTGGAGGCGTAGAAGGGGGCCAGCCCGGCGGCGAACATCCTGGCGGGGCGCGCCGCGCGGCCGCCTGCCCGGGCCGGGGGTGGGAGCGCGCGGAGGGCGTGCAGAGCCGCCGAGGACGATCCGCTTTCGCTTCTCCGACCGGACTGAAGGGAGGCCGGGGAGCCCTGGCGCCGCCGAGGAAGCAGGCGAGGGCCGGGGCCCGGCCGCTCACGCCTCGGCCCCTGGCCTCACTGCAGAGGCGGCGCGGCGCCGCGCTCCCCGCCGGCCCGAGGCGAGAGAGCGGCGCGGGATCCGCGGGGCCGAGAGGCCGGGGCCCCGCTCCGCACACCGGGGAAGCCGGAGAGACGGGGCCAGGCCCCAAAGAAAACGCAAACAACTAAGCCCTGAGAGCTAAATTTAAAATAACAACAATAATAATACGTTAGTTTAAAAAAAAAAAAAAAACAGCTAAAAAAAAAAAAAAAAACTCCTCTCGAAAAACTCCCAAAGTTTTGGCAGGAGCTTTCGAGTCAGACCCGGGTAGGACCTCGATCCGCGCGCTCATTGGCCATCCTCGTGGCCAATGGGAACCCGGAGTGGAGGTGAATTGGTAACGAGGGGGCGGGGCCCGCCCTCTTGCCACGCCTCGGCCACGCCAAAGTGTTTGTTGCTGCCGCGTGGGCTGAGCTCTGTCGTGCGCGTCTTTCTCCGCCGCGTAGGGTCCGGTCGCCGGCTCCAGCGGCCGCGGACTCTCTGCTGTCTGCAAATTCAGGCTGAGACGCGCGGAGGAGAGTTGGTCTCAGAGCTCTCCCGAAGCGCTCCCAGGAGTACGGGAGAATGGGTGCAAAGCCCGCCTCCGGGTGGACAGCCGAGAGCGCTGGTGGCCTCCTAGGTTCCCTACTCTTTACTTCCCTTTCTCCCGATTTCCCTTCATCTTTCGATTATCCAGGAGTCCGTGTCTTCTGCAAAGCCCCCGTCTGTCCCGGGGACCCCGCCCCCACGCGGCCCAGCACGGAGCCATCGGGCGCCGGATGCTGCGACCCCGAGGCCAGGCCTAACTCAGCTCGACGTCCGCCTCTCTGCCTCCCGGGAGATCCTCCGGGAATCCAGGAGGAGGAGCGGCCGCAAATTAGCTTTATTTCGAGGTGTCACTCAGTGACAACGTGAACGAGTGACTTTTCAAACAAAATAAGATGAATGGCTCCGAACGTCTCCCTGAGACGCAGCCAGACCTTTCCCCGGAGCTGCAAAGACAACCGAGGAGGTCGCCGTCCGAACCCTGGGAGATGGGCGCGCGCGTCCCCTCCCCTGCACCTTGCAGGAAATGCCACCCTCCCTCCTCCGCCACGTCCCGGGTCACGTGCGGCCCGTTGTTTTGCAAGTGCCCACAAGAGCAGATTTCCCTGGGGTTAAAAACTACTTTCAATTCAATGACAGTTTCGCCGAGCACCCCTTGGGCCTGGTCGCAGGAGGAGCTGCAGTGGCGGACAACGTCTTTCATCCATGCTTTGGGTCTTTAGTGCGCAGGGTGGGTGTAGTGGGGGGGTTTTCTGCAACATCAACACGTCTGTTTTAAGAATTCGTTCTCTTTTAAATTACAGTCAGAATGGATTTCCCCACCCTGCTCCCAAACAAACCACAGGCCACCCAGATGAGCTGTTCTTGCACATTTTCAGGAAGAAAATGAAATAATAACAATAATGAAACCACGAAATCTTTTGTTTTCGATTGTCCTAATAAGCGTCTCCTAACACAACTTCCGTGACATCTTTTTCCCTTCAGCAACTGAACTTGCCATGCCTATCTCGGGTTCAGGGTTTTGGCTAAGTAACGTGATTCCCGGTGGTTACCAGCCCCAAGTTGCAGACGCTGTCCTTAGAAGCTTTTGACTTTCTCCTGAAAACAACCAATCACTAATCAATCACTTCCCATCAGCCAACACTCAGAACCAACTCTTTTTCTCTCTCCCTCCCTTCCGCCTACCCCCTTTTTCCTTCCCTCCTCCCTCTTTCACTGAAGGAATTCCTAGTCCTGCTCGGCTCAGCTAGGGCAGAGTTGCAATTTTCCAAGGAAGTGGAGAGGCCTGGTCCGGGGTGGTGGGGGGGAGTGTTTCCTGGGACTAGAAGGTCTGGAAGACCAGCCGTCTGTGTCTAGCCAGCGGCAAGGGTGTGACAAGCAGCGGGCCACTTCTGAGGCGTTGGCAATCAGCCATCTGGACCTGCCTTCTTGAAAGGCTTCTGTGGGGGGGCGGCACCTGCAAAGGCTGAGGGTTCTGGCGAGACTCCGAGAGAGGGCCAAACAGGAGGCGGCCTCCCTGTAACTCCACAGCCCCCAGGGAAAGTCACCAGCGCCCGTGCGCGCAGGGGCGGCCAAGAGCCCTCTCCCGCTCTCTTTTCTAATGTCATTTCCAAGTCGGTTGCAGCTCCAGTTTGACTAGAAACGTTCAGCCCGCGGCCTAAGCCCCACCGATCTCAGGGTTTGAAAGAAGCGTATCTAGGCCACACCGCAGGCCGTGCCCCGCGCCCTCGCCCACCCAAGCCCCCCCCAAAAAAAGATTGCCTCACCTCCCCTCGCCCAGTTCCAAAGTTTGGGAGCCTGGGGGAGGGGGGGAGGGAGGCAGGCGCCGGGGAACGCGGGCCCTCCAAGGACCCTGTGGCGCCTATGACCCGCATTTGTCGCGCCAGGGCCAAGCTGGGGCCTACTTCGAGGCCACGAGTGAGCCCGGAGCAGATCTGGGGAAGGCGAGGCCGGGAGGGCGGTCTTCCACCCGAATTCTCACCCCGCCGCGCGCCTCTCTGCAAGGCCGCGGCAAGGCCTGCAGCTTGATTGATTGCAAGTGGCAACTTGGTCCGCTCGTCCCCGCCCAGCCTCGCGCGCCCCTTTGCTCTCTCAGGCCCTCCGCTTCATTGCAACCGCCTTAGCGCCATCCCGGCCTCCCTGGAGCTACCTGAGGGAAACGCGAAAAAGGCCATCTTTGGAGCCCTTGGAAACCCTACACGCACACGCACACGCACGCACACACACACCTGCCCCAGACCCAGGCCTTGCCTCTGCGGGCCCCTCGCCCCATTCTGAGCCCGCAGACTCCCCTCCTCCTTACCCCACCCCTCAGAACCAAGAAGGCAGCAGGAAACCCTGGGCTCGCTGGAGTTCAGGTCATCTCCTGTTTTTTGATGGGCTCTAACTCCGACTAAATGAGCGGATGTGCCTGCGAGATTGGTCTCAAAATAGAAGCGGCCTTAGTATTTTAGGATACTGCAGAAATCCTTATTTCTTCCGGAGAAAAACTCTATAATGACTCCTAGCACTTCCCCTTTCAATATTTGTGCAACTTTATCTCCACCGACAAGTTGCTCGGGTGACGCAAATCCGCCCCTGTGTGTTACAACTACCAAAATAAATGCGCGGAAATCAAGTCCCTTCTAGCAATGAAAATATAAATATACAGCTGCGACTTTCCCCTTTAATCTTTGCCTTCGGAGCGACTCCGAGCTGTGGAGAAATGCGATGTCTGAGGGCTATTGAGACGGGTGCTGAGGCCCCGGCGGCAGAGGCCAGGGCTCCCCGGCCTGGTAACCACAGGGCTTGAGGCTCCAGCAGGAGAGAAGAGGGCCTGACTAAACCAAATTAACTTGAGCTTGCCCTCCATAGCCCAGGCCCTAAAGATGGCTGAGCTGTCTTTTGAGGAAGCTCGAGAGAAAAGATGATTTCTCCTGAGGCTGTCTAGCTGCACTGGGAAAATTACAACTGGGAGGAGAGAGAATTGTTTACAGTGAAAGGTGGAACAGCATTTGTTTTTTGGTTTTGTGGAAGGTGTCTCACTGGCATGGCAAAAAACAGTTCAGTGCTGGCTACTACCTGAAAGGTTGGCAGTTTGAATTTACCCAGAGGCTCCACGGAACAAAGACGTTGCTGCCTACTTCTAAAAGATCCCAGCCAATGAAAATGCTGTAGAGCACAGTCTACTCTGACACACATGGGGTCACTGAGTCAGAGTTGACTTGATGACAACCGGTTTTTGGTTTTCTGAGCTGTTCTGATGGCTGCCTTTAATGCTTTCAACTCTCCCCTTAGCTTTTCCTAGGTACGCCCAGCCAAAGACCATCTCACCGCGCTGGGAATGGACAACGCCAGAGAATGTTATAATTTGACAATACAGTTTCTGGGAGTTTAGGATTGAAAGAAAGCGCCCGAATCAGGGGTTTATACAGTGGCTAAAGTTAGAAGTAGGTCTCCTCACTCCCCAGCTCTCCCTATCTTCAAAGGCTCCACGCTTAAATTTCCAATGCAAATTCTTGTCCTAAATCCCTGGGGACTGATCCACGCTAGTATAAGGTGTAAAAGCTCAGTGAGAGTGTATGCTGAGCTTTGCTTATTACAGAAACGTAACTCTGCAAGGGTTTAAACTGGTCAAATCTGCTATCTGCTTTTTTTTTTTTTTTTTCCTCGTAGACTTTGGGCAAAATAACGTGCAAGGCAGTTGCTCTGTGGATTCCGAACCTCCTCCCTTATTTTTAAAATATCTTTCCAACGTGGTACCTACTGGTTTCAAAGAAAGAGACTGAAGTTATTAAATATTCACAGTCCGGAAGAGAAGGACACACAATTTACCCAGCTATCTGAGGATCTGAGAGATTTGCAGCAATGCAGAGCCCTGGTGGCACAGTGGTTAAGAGCAAAAGGTCAGCAGTTCGAATCCACTAGACGCTCCTTGGAAACCCTATGTGGCAGCTCTACTCTGTCCTATAGGGTCGCTGTGAGTTGGGATTGACTTGACAGCAACGGGTTTGGTTTTTTGATATGGGTATCAGAGCACACTCTGCCTGTCATTCCACCAGCTGGAGATGAATGTACCACTGGACCCAGCACCCACATTTCTGGTGGGTGCAGGACTTCTGTTCCTGCAGGTGCTAGAGTTTAGCATTCTAGGGACCTACACACACACACGCATCTTGGATTATTCTAACGTAGATCACAGCTCTTTTTTCTGTAGACCTTAGAATTATTCCAAAACTAAATGTACTTTTGGACATTTTGAAGAAAATTAGACTTTGATATGGCGGTGGGAAAGGGA